TATATATACATATATATATGTATATATAGATATATACATGTATATATATATAATAATTTAATATGATATATTTGCTATTAATTTATTTATTAATAATACATTTGTGATGGCTCTGCTGATGAATAGATAATTTAAATCAAATAATTCCCCTTAGATGTATTAAGGCCTGGGCCTGAGCCGAACTGACAACCTTCTGCAGCGCGAAGATTGGATTAAAAAAGGAAGAAAATGAATTTAAAATGGCAATAAATGAATGAAAAATAAAAAATAATTAAATAATTGAAAGAATTAAATGCAAAGGCTTAAAAATAAAAAGAAAAAAGGAAAAAAAAGACAAAAAAATTCGTGAGCGCCCCTGCACTTTGAGGTGTACGTACACCTCAGCCATTACACTTGACTTTCCTCGACTTTCCATTTTCGATGAATTTTCACTTTTTGTTTTTATTTTCAATTATTTGTTTATTATTTGGATTATTTATCATTTATTTTTATATTTTAAAACTTATTTTATTTATTTTTTACATTTTTTCCTTCTTTTTAATCTCATTTAGCGCACCAGCTAAGGCGAAGTCCAGTTTGAAGAAACTGCTGCTGTTTATGACTTAATATTTATACTTTATTATTTATCTTTTATTATTTATTAACTCTTATTTTTTATTTTTATTATTAATTTATTTTTTTCTCTTTTTTCTTTTCAGTTCTATTTACTTTTACTTACCACTCCACTTTATCCATTTCAATACATTTTTGTCCATCTCGATCAACTTTTGTCAATTTTTGTTTATTTTATTTAATTTCAGTTCATTTTATTTCATTTTAATTCATTTTAATTCATTTTATTTCAATTTAGTTCATTTTATTGTATTCTAATTCAGTTTAATAAATTTAAATTTGTTTAAATTCGTTTAAATTGATTTAAATAACACTAATTCATTCTCTTAATTCATCTTAAATCATTTTAATTCATTTTTATTGACTCTTGTTTTATTCCCAACACGCACTCGCTGCAATTATGAGCCAAACTTGTGAGTTTTTTTAATTACATTAAATAAAATAAATTTAAATGCAGTTTGCCATTTTAATTATAAAACAAATTAAATTTATTGAGTACAATTTGCTAATTTAATTATGAAAAAATTAAATTTATTGAATACAATTTTCCAATTTAATTATAAAATAAATTAAATTCCTAAAATGCAATTTGCCAATTTAATAATAAAAATAAAATCCTGCAAATGCATGCAGCCGAAAGCCCCAAACTCACCGCCTGCATGCAGCCAAATTGAAGGCCGCCTTTGCATGCATTTGAAATATAAATATAAATATAAATATAAATATAAATATAAATATAAGCATAAATCTAAATATAAGCATAAATATAAATATAAATATAAATATAAATATAAATATAAATATAAATATAAATATAAATATAAATATAAATACAATAATAAGCATAAATACAAATATAAATATAAATATAAATATAAATATAAATATAAATATAAATATAAATATAAATATATATAAATATAAGTATAATTATGAATATAAATATAAATATAAATATAAGCATAAATGTAAATATAAATATAAATATAAATATAAATATAAATATAAATATAAATATAAGAATAAGTATAAATACAAATATAAGTATAAATATGAATACCAGTATAAATATAAATACAAGCAGAGATATAAATATAAGTGTTAGGCCAAATTTAAATATGTTTTGAAATATAAATGTAAATAGAAATATAAACGCAAAGATATGATAAGAGTAAATATACAAAGAGGACTAAGACAGCAGCAGCAGCAGCAGCAGCAGCTGCTGCAGCAGCAGCAGCTGCTGCTGCTGCTGCTGTTGCTGCAGCGAAACGAGTCCGTCAAACAAGAAGAAAAGACTAATCTTTTGAACTAGTTGATCTGATTAAATTAAATTAAATTAAATTAAAATTTAATTTAATTTAATTAAACATAATTTAATTTGATTAATTTGATTAAACTGAATTGATTAAAATAATTTAATTTAATTCTTTGTTAATTTCCAGCTCACCGCCTCCTCCTGCAAACGTTTAAACGCAGCAGCGCGAGTTATTTATTTATTTATTTATTTATTTATTTATTTATTTATTTATTTATTTATTTATTTATTTGCTTATTGATTTATTGATTTATTTATTTATTTACTTATTTATTTGCTTATTTATTCACTTATTTATCTATTTATTTATTTATTTATTTATTTAGTTATTCATATTTGATTGTGTTAAAGGGACTTTTGCTTACCTTCTGCAATTTTCCTTTTTGCCAAATTGAATAAATAATTATTCAGTTTAAATGGATTTATGTAATTGATTTAATTAAATTAATTAACTTAATTAACTTAATTAGCATAATTAATTCTTTTAAATTACCTAACTTGAATAATTTAATTAGTTTATTAATCGATTAATTCTTATTTATCAAAAACTTCTTTGTTTCATCTTTTGCGCTTTTTCTTCATTTGTTATTTTCTTTTTTATTATTTATTTTCATTTATTTTTATTTCTATTTAATCTGGCAATTGCCTTCTTCCATTTGTCATGTATTATTCATTATCTCATTTCATTAACCTTTTATTTTCTTCTATTTGTTTATTTACTCACTCATTTATTTATTCATTTATTTATTTTTTTGTTTATTTATTTATTTGTACTCTACCGCAGCTGTTGGAAATAATAAACAACAAATAGTAACTTATAAATAATAAATATTATAAATTATAAATTATAAATAATAAATAATTAGTAATTAATTATTAATAATTCACCAATTAAAAATAAATTAAAATAATTTGAGGGAAATGAAATTAAAGAAAATTACATTCTGCGCCTGCGCCAATTGTTCAGGTGTACAGACAGCTCCAGTAGGCAAACAAGCGAGTCCGAAAAGATTTCCAAATTAATTTAATTAATTTAATTAATTAATTTAATTTAATTTAATTTAATTTAATTGATTAGTAAAGGGTAAATTGAGTCAGAATGGTGGTGTTCATAATGCTTTTTAAGCTCACAAAGGACCTAATCCCGAAACCCTGAACCCCGAACCCTAAACCCTAAACCCTAAACCCTAAACCCTAAACCCTAAACCCTAAACCGTTAAGAATAAAACCATAGTTTGAGCGTGCCTGAAACCTTTTCAAATAAGGGAAAAGGGAGCTACAGGTCAAGCGCACTCCCTTTAGTTTCAAACCCTAATCCTTAAACCCTAAACCCTAAACCCTAAACCCTAAACCCTAAACCCTAAACCCTAAACCCTAGCATCTAAAGCCTAAACCCCACAGACGCGGCTCTTGAATTCCTGCAATAATTTTTAAACCCACTTTCTGTTTTAATGCAGTCCTATTTGGAGGTGTTGTCATCTTAATTTTAATTAAATTAAATTAATTCTAATTGAATTGAATTTGTTTTAATTAATTGTAATTAATTGTAATTTATTGCAATTAATTTTAATCAAATTTAATTCACTTTAATTTGTTGAATTTAAAAGAAAACCTAAATGACTGCAAAAACGGTAATTAAAGAAAGTAATTAAACAAAAAAGCCAGTCCTCGTTTGTTTCATCATTTTAATTTATTTAAAATTATTTTCTTTCTTTTTTAATTTTCCTTTTTCATCATTTTAATTTATTTAAAATTATTTTCTTTCTTTTTTATTTCTCCTTTTTTAGTTTTTTTATTTGCTTTGACACTCACTATCTGCCCAAAGTAAAAAAATTAGATAACTAATTTAAATAATTTAATTAATATAATTAATTTCATTAATTTCAATAATTTAACTAATATAATTAATTTGACTAATTTACTTAATTTAATTAATTTAATTAATTAATTAAATTAATTAAACCAATTAAGTTAACCAATTTAGTTAATTAATTAAATTTAATTTGGCAACTGATTAATTATTTTCAATCAATTGATGAACAGAAAAGACAAATGAAAGAAAAAAGCGAAAATGAAATTAATTCAAAAGACAAACTCACGGACTTCAGAAATAAAAGTTTCGAAGAACTTAAATATTTGATTAATTCGAAATTAAACACAAAAAATTATTTCTAAGTTTTAAAAAGTAAACACTTTCGGACTTTTGTTTGCCGAAAAGAAACGCATTTATTCTTTGCAACACTATTAAGTAGCATTTTATTTATTTATTTATTTATTATTTATTTATTTATTATTTATTTGTTTGTTTACTTATTTATTTATTAATTTTGTATTAGATGAAGTTTAATGAGCTTGCTTTCGCGCCCCAAATAAAAGAACCCTTTTCCCATTTCTAGGTTCTAGGGTTCAGAGTTTGGAGTTAAGGGTTGTTCAGGGTTTAGGGTTTAGGGTTTAGGGTTTAGGGTTTAGGGTTTAGGGTTTAGGATTTAGGGTTTGAAGGGGCCGCACTTCCTTAAGGAGGAAGCGGCATGGCAGCAAAAAAAGAATTAATGTGGATTGAAAGAGAAAAAGCATCAAAGAAATCAAATTAAAATTTAAAAATATATTTAATGATTAAAAGCAAAAACAAATTGCAAGACACACCGCCTGGGCGTTGGGGTGTACGTACACCTCAAATATCCCGCCGCTGCTGCAGCAGCAGCAAGAGGAAATAAATTGTTTCCTTTTTACCCCCCAGAGGCTAAATAAATAAATATTTATTTGTTTAATAACATAAATTAAATGTTTAATTATAATTTGATCATTTATTTGTTCATTTATTTCTTTTTCCGCTGCTGCGGAGGAGGCGGGCGGGTGCGAAGAGTCTTACAATCTGAAGTGCAATTTTTGAATTGCATTTCCACATTTGTTTTTTGCATGCCATTATATTTAATTTAATTTAATTTTTTGTTTTATTTTATTTATTTTTAAATTCGTTTGTTTATTTGCTTCCAATCATCGACTTGTCCACCAATTCAACTATTTCTGGACTCCGCCATTCGCCTTTTCCAAATAAAATGCATCCACAAATGGAATTAAATTCCTAATTTTATTTTCTAAAATACTTTTGCATTCAATTCAACTTTATTTTGTTCTTTTTATTTTTATTTACTTCCTGGATTCGAAAAGGAAATGCGCGGCTGCGCGCACCCACATCTGCGGTGTACGTACACCATCTGAGGTGTACGTACACCTCAAATGCTGGCCGCCGTTTGGCTTGCGATGAAGCTGTCGAATTTGACGGAAAACGCATTCAATTAATTCCATTTTTTTCATTTAAATTAATCAATTAAATCAATTTAATCAATTAAATCGATTTAAACGATAAAAACTCCCAAATTAATTAAATTCAGCAAACTGCGAAATGCAAACAGCGGCAGCGCACGAATGGCTGTGGGCGAAAAGACAAAAAAACCAATTAGGGCATTTCTAAATACAAATAAAAACAAAATATGAATTACTGCACAACACTAAACCCTAAACCCTAAACCCTAAACCCTAAACCCTAAACCCTAAATATAGCTGAATAATAAAGCAGGCGAAGTACTGAGCATTTAAATGCAGATAAACAAAAGTAGGCACAACTGGCGCACGATCTGGATTTGCTGCGAATTAATCATTTATTTAGAATTAAAAAAGAAATAAATATATTTATTTATTCATTAAAATGGAAATTAAATTTAAATGAAAGAAAAAGTAACAACGGGCTCCTCACAACCTGCAAAAGAAAGCACTTGCTTGCTTCAGGTGTACGTACACCACAGAGGGCAGCCAAGCACTTTTCAAATTTGTTTTTATTTTTATTTTTTTATTTTTATTTTTTTATTTTTCTCTCTTCGGTGATTCTCCACGCACATCCTTGGGCCACGCGTTTCGTTGATGGAAAACCCTAAACCCTAAACCCTAAACCCTAAACCCTAAACCATCGACCCCAAGCGCTGAAATCAAAACCCTAATGCTGTCGCGCCTAGCCGCAACACCGAACCCTAAACCCTAAAACGAATTCGTGCGCCCTATCCTTTGCCTGCTAGGTCCAGCATTCATCTTAGGGTTTAGGGTTTGGGGTTTAGGGTTTAGGGTTTAGGGTTCAGGGTTTTGCTCACCACCTGCGAACACGGCGAAATTACAGCGGCTGTTCTCCAGGTGTACATACACCTCAAAGCACCCACTAGCTAGCTAGCCAGACAGCTGAGTAGCTAGCTAGACAAATGGCTTGATGGCTGTCCTGTTGGCTAGCTAAATCGCTAGCTAGCTAGCTAGCTAGGCTCCTCAGTAGCTACTACCCAAGCAACTAGACAGCTAGCTGGCTAACTGCAGCTAGCTAGCTAGCCAGCCAGCTAGCTAGCTACATGAGCAGCTATCTACCAGTTAAACAGCTAGCCAGCTAGCTACCTACCTGCCAAAGCAGCTAGCTAAATACCTATTAAGCTAGCCAGCTACCTAAGCAGCTAGCTAGCTAGCTACCCGGGTGTATAGCTAGCTAGCCGCCTAGCTTCGCAGCTAGCTAGCTACCTAGCTCTGCAACTAGCTAGCTACCTAGCTTTGCAGCTGGCTAGCTACCTACCTGCCTGCCTACCTAGCGAGCTAGCCATCTAGCTGTGCAGCTAGCTAGCTAGCTAGCTAGCTAGGTAGCTAGCTAGCTAGCTAGCTAGCTAGCTGCCCCGGCCTGCAGACTCACGAGCTCGAGTTTCTGCAGTTTGAGGCGCAGCTGTTCGCAGCTCAATTAGAAAGCAGAAACGAATTTGTGGAATTTTTAAAAAGTTTATTTTCAAATAAATAAAAATAAAAAAGAAATCCAATAAAGTCCAAATGCAATTAAAAGAATAGATAGCTTTCAAACAGAGGGTTTAGTTTTCACTTTCTTAGCCAAAACGCACAGTCTCCACGTGCAGCCGTAACCCCAAACCCTAAACCCTAAACCCTAAACCCTAAACCCTAAACCCTAAACCCTAGATCCTAAACCCTGACTAGCCACTTGGCCCTCTGCCCAGCTAGCCACTTAGCTAGCTAGCTGCCTAGCTACAGAACTAGCTAGCTGGGCCTTCGGTCAATCAGCTAGCTATCCAGCTAGCTAGCTAGCTAGTTAGCTAGCTAGCTGGATAGCTAGCTAGTTAGCCAGCTAGCTGGATAGCTAGCTAGCTAGCTAGCTAGCTGGATAGCTAGCTAGTGGTTGCTCTTACTCCCTGCAACCGCAGTGCATGCCAGTTAAAAGGCTCATGAAGCGGTTTAGCTAGCTAGTTAGATGGATAGAAAGATAAACACAGAGTTGGCTAGCTAGCCAGCTAGCTGCTTTTCAACAGGTTGTCTAGCTAGCTAGCTAGCTAGCTAGCTAGCTTATTGAACAGCTAGCTAGCCTCCATGGAGCTCAATTTCTCTTTTTGGACCAGAGGAGTTCGCTTACTCTCTGAAAGGGGGCAGTCAGTCAACGGCAGCTGACAGCTAGCTAGCTAACTAGCTAGCTAGCCCGCTGGCCAGCTAGCTAGCTAGCTCTCTAAATAGGTAGCTAGCTAGCTAGCTGGGCACGCGTGGATAGCTAGCTTGCAAGGCAGCTAGCTAATTACGCACTGTAGTTAGCTGCAGCTAGCTATGGCTAGCTAGCACTGCAGAAGTAGCTAGCTATGGCTAGCTGCTGAAGGAGCTAGCTATGGCTAGCTAAGGAATTAGCTAGCTACGGCTAGCTGCAGCTAGCTGTGGCTAGCTGGAGGCCCCTGGGAGCAGAAGTTGAGGTGTACAGACAGCTGCGGGCCTCACTGCCTGTGGGGTGTCTTTTCAGTTTTTTAATTTCTCATTTTTGTTTTGCAACTTTGGCCAGCATTTGCACCTAAACCTCAAGCCCTAGGGTTTAGAATTAGGGTTTAGGGTTTAGGGTTTAGGGTTTAGGGTTTAGGGTTTTCAGTTTACTGCTTTTGACGCGAATTGAAGAAAAGCATTTGGAAGCTTACTGTCTGATAGGGTGTACGTACACCTCACGCCCAGAAGCATGCTTCGTGACGTTCTGCTGCTGCTGCTGGCGCAGCAGCAGCAGCAGTAGCAGCAGCCGCAGCAGCAGTAGCAGCAGCAGCAGTAGCAGCAGCAGCAGCAGCAGCAGCAGCTGTTAGTGTCTAACTCTCTGATTTCAAGAGATTTAAAGGCAATTTGATTTCTTCTTCAGCCCACACAAAGACTTCTCAAACTGTGTTAAATGCAATTAAAAATGATTTTAAAAATATAATATTTAATTCCCTTTTTGAATAAATTTGAATTAAATGAACTTCAACAGAAAACGCAATTCGAGCGAAGACGAGGCTGCGCATACACCCGAACCGGGTGTACGTACACCCGACCGCCCCGAGGGTGGAAAGTTGCAATTTTGAGAAATTCTTTTTTATTTTTTAATTTAAATATTCTAAAAAAACAAATAATGCAACAAATATTCAATTAATTCATTTAAAACGGATTTGTGTTTGCGCAACGAAGCAAAACTTGCATGCGTTTTGACTCAGGTGTACGTACACCTCAGCGCGCTGCTGCACTCGCGCAAACGCACTTCCTTCAATTTCAAAATTCACTAAAAAACAAAGTTCTAATTGCTGCTGCTGCTGCTGCTGTCTTCTTTGCTGCTTCTGCTATATGCGCTGCTGCTGCTGCTGCTGCTGCTGCTGTCTGCGCTGCTGCTGCTGCTGTCTGCGCTGCTGCTGCTGCTGCTGCTATCTGCGCTGCTGCTGCTGCTGCTGCTGCTGCCTTTGTTGCTGCTTCTGCTGTCTGCGCTGCTGCTGCTGCTGCTGTCTTCGCTGCTGCTGCTGCTGCCTGCGCTGCGGCTGCTGCTTGCTGCGCTGCTGCTGCTGCTTGCTGCGCTGCTGCTGCTGCTGCTGCAGCTAGACAAGAAGGAAAAAGAGGTTCTCCTAGAGGGTCTGTTGGATTTATCTTTTTAAAACAAAAACGAAAAGGCTGCTGCTGCAGCGCGAAGCCAAAAAGACTAAAAAGGGATTTATTTGTACTTATAAATATATAAATATACAAGTATTTATATTTGCATTTGTATCTATTAATGTGTTTATATATATATATATATATATATATATATATATATATATATATATATATATATATATATATATGTATAGATATATAGATATATATATGTATATATATTTATATATTTGTTGTACTTGTATTTATATTTTTGTGTATATGTCGATATTTATGTGTATCTTTAGATGTTTATATTTTTATGCTTATATTTATATTTATATTTGGATGTTTATATTTATATTTATATTTGGATGTTTATATTTATATTTATATTTATATTTAGATGTTTCTATTCAGATATTTATATTTATATTTATATTTAGATATTTATTCTTATATTTATATTTCGATATTTATATTTATATTTATATTTGGATATTTATATTTACATTTATATTTGGATACTTATATATATATTTAGGTGTTTATATTTAGATATTTATATTTATATTCATATTTTAACTGCATGCGTTTTGTTACTTTTCTGACGCACAACCTTATATTTGGATTTGTTCAGAAACAAAATTTAAATTAAAAATAAAAAGAAATCCTGCGGCCAGCCCTAAACCCTAAACCCTAAACCCTAAAGCCTAAACAACAAACCCTAAACCATAAACCCTAAACCCTAACCTTAAACCCTAGAGCCTTAACCCTAGTCCTAGAGGTACGCACTAGCTGTAGCGTGTGCACAGCTACCTACGTTTAAGGGTTTAGGGTTTAGGGTTTAGGGTTTAGGGTTTAGGGTTTAGGGTTTAGCCGGCGCCGGCGAGAACCGCGTTTCCTGCAGAAACAAAAGCGGCCACCAGCAACTGAGAGGATTGAACTTTTATTTTATTTATTTTTAAAAATAAATAAATTATTTTATTTATCTTTAAAAATAAATGAAATAAAATAATTCATTTAATTCGAAAAGAAAAGATTTAATTTCACTTCTGAACTTCCCGCTCACCCCCTGCAGCGGCCAGCAGCAGCAAGTCCGAGCTGTCTATACACCCCAGCGCCCGCAAACCCCCGGACTTCCAAAAAAGTAATTCTGCATCAAATCTCACAATCTTTGAAAAAAATAAAATCAAAATAAAATCAAAACTTAAAATCTTTTCTTTTTTGCTTCCTTTCGAGCCTCCAGGCCCTCATTTACGCACTAAATGCACCCCTGCTGCTGCTGCTGCTGCTGCTGCTGCTGCTGCTGCTGCTGCTGCTGCTGCTGCTGCGGCGCGAACGCACGCACTTCGTTTGAGGTGTATGTACACCGTGAAAACAGCCGGCGTGCAGCACAAGTGGGCCTTCCAATACATTAATTAGTTATTGAAGTTACTAATTTAATTAATTAATTAATTAATTAATTAACTAATTAATTAGTTAATTAATTAATTAATTAAACTAATTAATTAATTAATTAATTAATTAATTAGTTTAATTAAGTAGTTGAGTACTTAATTTAAATAATTAATTAATTATTTGAATTAATTAAGTATTTGATTAATTTAATTAATTAATTTGGTTAATTAATTAATTAATTTCAATAAATAAAAAAATAATTAGTTTGCTAGTTCCTTGTTAAGGCTTCCTCACTCTCTTCATCGAGATAAATAAAAACGCATAAAGGTGTGCACTGAGAAGGGTTTAGGGTTTAGGGTTTTGAAATCAGGGTTTAGGGTTTAGGGTTTAGGGTTTTGGGCTCAGGGTTTAGGGCTTAGGGTTTAGGGTTTGGGGCTTGAAGACTCACCTCCCTCTGATTGCCGCAGAAACCACATGCAGATGAAACAGTTTCACCCTTTTGTCTCCCAAGGGTTTAGGGTTTAGGGTTTAGGGTTTAGAGTTTAGGGTTTAGGGTTTAGGGTTTGGAGTTTGGAGAAATGCGGTAGCCGCTCACCTCCATAAACTGTTCAAAGCTCTGCCGCAGAGAAAGACACCACATAAGGACAGCAAAACACGAGGGTTTAGGGTTTAGGGTTTAGGGTTTAGGGTTTAGGGTTTAGGGTTTAGGATGCCCCTGCGGCTACACTGGCAACTATCTATCTGCTGCAGAGCAAAAGTGAGCAGCAGCAGCAGCAGCAGCACCCTTGAGAACTTCGAATCTAGGGTTTAGGGTTTAGGGCTTGGGGTTTAGGGTTTAGGGTTTGGGGTTTAGGGTTTGGGGTTTGGGTTCTCCCCTTAAGGTTTAGAGCTGCGCCGTAGCGCCCCACTGGCTCCAGGCCTCGGGCGCCGCTTGAAAGTCACAAACGAGGGTTTAGAGTTTAGGGTTTAGGGTTTAGGGTTTAGGGTTTAGGGTTTAGGGTTTACCTGGGCCACGGCCCTTTTCTTTCTGGCGGAGAGGGCGAAGAGGCCCAGGAGAAGCAAAGAAGCAGCAGCAGCAAATTTGAAAAGATCTTTTTTGTTGAAGTTTTCTGCTGCCAGCACTTCTGGGGCGGTGGGGGCCCCCCGGGGGGGCCCCCAAGCAGCAGCAGGGGGTGCTGTTGCTGCTGCTGCTGCTGCTGCTGCTGCTGCGTGGTCGCCGTCTTCGAAGGCCATGGTGTCGAAGTTGAAGGCTGCGTGTGTTGCTGCTGCTGCTGCTGCTGCTGCAGCAGCAGCAGGAGCCAGCAGCAGCAAAAGGAGAGCTTTTGGAGCCATTTTTCTGCAGCAGCGGCGCTGCCGACGCGCCCTAATCGAAAAAAACCACCTCCTGCAGCGCCCCAGGCTGCATACTTCAATTAATTCTTCTTTTTATTCAAAATAAAACATTTAAATTCGAAAAAAGAGTTCAAACGCGCTCAAAACCGGCGGCAGGCTCGGCTGTACAGACACCGCGCGCAGCCCGCCCCGGCGCCGGTCGGCTGCGGTGGCGAAGCGCCCGCCTTTCCGCAAACCCTAAACCCTTTTTTAGGGTTTAGTTGCGCCCATTAACTTTAATTTGCATTTAAAATCCGCTAAATTCGCAAAAAACACTAAAAGCTGCAAAGAAAACGCAAACCCCAGCGCCGCGCAGCAGTCCTGGGAAGCAACCAGGACTCGCCGGACAGGAAGCTGCAGAAACTCGCTTTCTGCCTTTTCCGGATTTGTTTATTTAATTTTAAAGAATTTATTTAATTAAATTTAATTAATTTTCGAAAATAAATCCGCTTAATCGCGATCAACTGCCGCCGTCGCAGCGCCCCGCTGCTGCTGCTGCTGTATGTACACCTCAGCAGCAGCAGCAGCAGCAGCAGCAGCAGCAGCAGACTCGCCTTTCGCCTCTTCTCTATCCCCCCGAATTCCTTTTTCGGCGACAAATAATTAAAAGTACCATTTGATTTCGTTTTTTCAGTTTTTTCGCAAAAAGAAAGACTCTTGCTGCTGCAGCCAGGCGCAGTGAGCGGCCCACACCCCCACTCCCGCTGCAGCAGCTCGTGTCTGCAAAAAGAGGAAATAAATGGAGACCCAACACTAATAAAAGTAATAATAATAATTAATAATAAAGTTTTCGTTTTATGCATGCATTTATCTCCATTTTATTCACTTCTGAGGTCTTCAAACAAACCACAAACTCCCGACGCCCCCCCTGTCG